CCCAACCGCAACAAGCAAAGAACCAAAAGTGGAAGAAGAAGACGAAACCCTAGATCACGATCTCGACCGGTGAATTCAATACAAAGCCTGGCATGCAAACACGGCAAACCACATTCTACGAAAACGCCGCGTAACGAGCCAGGACCGAGTCAAACGCGGAGATCCGAATCGCCGCGTAACCGAGTCAAACAAACATCAAAATCGTCACATACACTATCCAACCGGAGGAGGTAATCTCGACGAGAAGCGGATAGTAATCGCCGAAAGGGAAAAACGGTTACCGGCCGGAGAAATCGGTTTTTTTTTCCGGCGTTAGATGAGAGAGAAACTGTAGATGCTAAAAAGAGGACCGAGAGAGGAAGAAACTTGGAAAACCGGAAAAAAATTGTTAGGAAAGTATAATTTATAGTTTTATACTCCAAACGTGTATACTTTAGTGGCCACCGTAATTAAAAAAAAAATGCCGTTCTTAATTAATTAAAATTCAATAAAAATATAGAAGTGGATCGGGAAGGTTCCCAAATTCTTCTCAACCCACATATATTAGACTATTAGGTCTTTCGTAAACGCGTTATAGCGTTCTGTGCGATTGTTGCGGTTCGAACTCGCATTTAATCACTAACTTTTTTTTAAAGAAAACAATATAGTACTATTTAAAAAAAACAAAAATTCAATACTGATATTATTGTGAACAAAACAATGATGATTTCGACGATTGTTTTTCCCTTGAGATATAGTAATAAGTTAATTCATAACTAGTTGTTTAGTTACATTAATAAAATATGATAAAATGAAAACATTCATCTATATTTATCAAAAGTTTAACCAATTAAGTTGTTATATAATAAAATATTCATTTCATTTATTTAGTTGACAACAAAATTTAAGATAAATATTCATCTACTATTATGGAAATTAATGAGTATGATAAATTTATTTCTATATTTACAATATTGCATCAATCTATATTTAATTATTACTTTTATAAAGTGTTTTGAGTAATAGGTAAAATTTAATTATTATAATTTTTTGTTTGTTTGTCACATTTAAATTGTTTTTAAAAAATATTATAGAGAAAAATATTTTTCGAGGAAAATTTATTTAATCTAATTTTACAAAAACGACTTAAACAATATGTGAAGTGACTTTAGTCTAGCGTCAGTTGTAAATCCACTCATAACATGCACCATCAAATTCGAAATCAAATTATGCTTTCCACTGATGTAATATTAAACTAGGGACCGACATGTTGTGGCTTAATATTGACGAAAAAAAATAAAAAA